TCATCATCATCATCATCATCATCATCATCTCCATCTCCATCTCCATCTCCATCTCCATCTCCATCTCCATCATCATCATCATCATCATCATCATCATCACCACCATCACGATCATCATCATCATCATCATCTCCATCATCTCCATCATCATCTCCATCATCAGCTCCTTCTGCCTCCTACTCCTGCTTCCTTATCTCCCTGCTGCTGCTGCTTCTCCTCCTCCTCCTCCTCTACCTGATCCCCCTCTCCTCCTCCTCAATTGCTGCTGCTTCTGCCGTTCTTGCTGCTCTTGATGCTTCTCCTCTCTGCTGCTGCTGCTCATTTTGTCCTGCTATTCCTATTCTTGCTGCTTCTGTTTCACGTGCTCCTGCAGCTGCACTCTCCACTCCTGTGTATCCTCCTCTTAGACGTCTTGTGCTCCTGCTGCTGTTGTATCCTCCTCTTAGACGTCTTGTGCTCCTGCTGCTGTTGTATCCTCCTCTTAGACGTCTTTTCGTCCTTCAACTCGCCGCACTTCTCTCGCTGCTCCTCGTCTCCCCTCACCTCATGGCAGCTACTTCCAAGACTGTCCCATCGCCGAGGCGGATGACGGTCGGCTCCCCCTCCTCGAGGGAAACTTCGTCGAGACCCGCCGCTCTCTCGCCGTCCGCGCGGAGATGTCCGCCTCCTCCTTTGTCACCATCAACCAGCAGCTGGACAAGCTGCTGGCGACGCTGCCGGAGGATGCGGGAGAGGAGGGGCAGCACGAGGTGTTGGATCGCTTGATAGAGGACAACGAGGACGCAGGTCAGGCGCAGGCTAAGGAGGGTCAGACACTGAAGGATGGCAGGGACGGCGTTGCGGAGGGAGGCAGAGAGCGCGGAGGAGATGCTGGTGAAGGCAAGTCCCCCCCATCTCATCTCTCTCTGTACACGCTGACCATGTTCTGAAGGTTCGCGAAGCTCTCAAGGTCATCGGAGATGATCGAAGCCGCGATGCTCTTCAGCAGCTGAGCATGCAGGTACGAGGCCGCGAAGTCTAGAGGAACCGGTCTCTCCGACCTCCCCTGACCCCTCCCTGCTCCAGGTGGAGCTCATCGCTCGAGGGCTCAACCCAGACTGATCATTCGCGGGAATGTAATGAAAGCAGTTGCAGCTCTCGTCGCGTTACATGAACCAACCTCCGCTCGCCTCCTCCTCCTCTTCCCTCCACTCTCAACTTCTCAACGTCCTTCCTTGACCTGCTTCTCCACCTGGTCCCACAGCTCTCGCCATATTCCAGTGCCCTGGTCTCATCGTCAGGAACAGCAGGCGAGGAAACAGAAGGAGAGAAGAGGACAGGAGGAGGGAGGAGGGAGGAGGTACCTTCTTCGAAGACATGATTGCTCTGGTGATCTCTTGGGGGGTCAGTTGAGACAGCCAGTCCCTGAAGGTACTCGTGGGGTTCCTTTTGCGGAAGTCTGCCAGTGACGTCAGCAACCCTAGCGCCCCCCGATCGCCTCCCGCACTCACCGATGATGTTAGAGAGCATCAGGTTCTCTCCCTCAGACTTGCTCTCCTTCTGCAAACCTGCACCCCAGTCACTCCCTCTCCTCTCCTCCTCCTGCGCCTCCCACCTCCTGACGCGTCTGCTGCTTTCTGCTCTGAGTGTGCGTCCCAGTCCATCGGCCTTGCCTCTTGCACGCGCACGGCAGGGGGGCACTTGAAGTTTGCCTCTGGCATCCTGCCTCTTTCTACATTATGTACACCAGCCTGAGGCACCGGGCTTCCCTGCCGCAAGGCGTCACCCACGGCACGCAATGACACGCAACAGGAGGAGGAGAAGGAGGTAGAGGGGGAGGTAGAGGAGGAGGAGGAGGAGGAGGAGGAGGAGGAGGAGGAGGAGGAGGAGGAGGAGGAGGAGGAGGAGGAGGAGTACCTGAGGGAGGATAAGGTAGCGGCTCTCGGCGAGGGCATCTCCTTTGGCGATTCCTCTCTCTTTCTGTGCATGGTCTTCAAAGCTAGTTTGAGTTAAGTCTTCTGATGTCGTCGGCCTCCTCCACTCGTCCTTGAGCCGGAACGAGCCGCTGGGGCGCTGAGGGAAACTAGGAAGAGGGCTCTCCTCTTGAGGTCCAGGGCCGGCCCCAGTCAGCGGCAGATCTGGAGTTATGGGGAGGGAAGAGATCTTGCGGGGGGAGTGACTGTGCTCTCTGAATCGATCCCTTCTGTTAGAGGGGCTGGGAACAACCTCCGTCACTACAACTGTCGACGATGACTTGGAAGACCCAGCCTCACTGTGCGCATCCCCTGACTTGGCCTCTTCCTCCGAAGACTCCTGCTCCAACAGTCACGGCAAGCGGGGAGTGGGTAACGAGAATTTGTCTCGTGATCCATACCTGCAGACCAAGGGACACCATTCGGTTCGAGCTGGCTGGGCTGGTGTGTTCCGACGTCCGGGTATGATCTCCCAGCATGGCAAACGCGTTCAGGAGCATTTCCCCTTCTGTCTTGCCTGACGTCAGGTTGTTGTTGATGATTTCACTGATCCTGCAAGGACAGCACAAGAGTCACGACCGGAACTTGTATGCTGAAACGTCATCATACTCAGGAATATCCGACGCATCATCGAACGAGTTTCTCCCATCCAGGAGAGCAGTCAGTCCAGCTGAGGGCTGAACACCTTTCGGCGAGAAGAGCTGGGCATTCTGCTTAACCTGCAAGATACCATCAGGCTTACCAGAGGAGGGGCTACGAGGGGGCACCTGATCGCGGCCTGGGAACAAACTCTGAGCGAAGTGGTCGAGCTCCTCGCTGTCTACACCGTTCTCAGCAGAGTAGCTGTTAACTGCAGGGGAAGACTTCTTGGACGGTTTCCTGGCCGAACGAGCGTCCAGGTGCAGGGGAGCGCAGGGAACCATTTGCACATCCTCCCCTTTCTCCGTGCAAAAATCTGCCGAGAGAGAGAACATCTCGGACTGAGCGACGCCCGCCTCCTTCCTCTGGGGAGCGGCGTTACTCGTCTCCTTCCTCTGAGGCCTCTCCGACGTCGTCCGCGGCTTCTTCCTGTTCCCCTGCGACTCCGGCCCTTTGATCGCCTGCCGCACCTGCCCTTTCTCCGCAGGGCTGACCTCGGCCTGCGCTGGCGCGTCGTCGTTCATGAAGTGACCCATCGCTGCCATCCTCTCGCGGATTCCTGCGAGGCCTCCAGGGATCTGACAGCTCACTGTGTCTAGGTTGTGCAGATCGGGGACAGGCGTCGGCGGTCCATGCATCCTGCTCGAGCGCAGCGGCCTGAAGACGCTGAAGCATGATGCTTTGAGCACCATCGCTGCGGCAACTCCCCCTGTTCACCAAGTGATCAGTTGCTGGGTGGAGGAAGAACCAAACTACTATGATGTCTCGACTGACAGGAAACTCCACAATTCCAATCTGCCTGCCTCTTGCCCCTCCTCTCCCTTGCGCTCTACACCACCCCCGGTTACATCCCAGGTGAATACCCCTCAAGCTTCAATATAAATCGCAACAAGAGCTACTGGAGAAGTTGGGGGTAATGAAATCTACGAGCATTGGGCCTGCGAGAAATGAAGCGGGATAGCAAAAGGAGCCAAGAGCCATCGAGCTTAATGGAATTCTTGGAGAGAATGGAGGGCAAGAGAAAGGATGAAGAGGAGGAGGAGGAAGACAGCAAGCAAGGGATGCAATATGACCATTTGCTTTGACCAATCATGTCCCAGGAAGGTCATTCGGGGGCAGAGAAGAGGCAGTAACAGAGGATGCTGGCAAGGGGCGGGATAGTGGAAGGAACCGGAGTGTACAGGAAGTGAAGGAAGAGGAAGAGCGGGGGGGGCATGACAGAGTCTCTGCATTCCTAGGGTTCGCCGTCGCTCGGGCCCTGCATGGTAAGTTGCGGGGTCCATGCAGCATGGAAGGCCAAAAAGTGATTTTTCAGGTAGGGTGGGTGGTCAGCTAGGGGTAAAGACGTCGACAAGGAAGGGTAGGGGTAGTCAGAAGCAGGGATTCCACGGTAGGCAAATGGCTGTGGTAGGGTAGGGTGATGACCAAGAGGTGGTAGGGGTAGTTAAATTTCCGAAGACTCGGGGGTAGGGGGTGGGGTCCAAACGGCAGACAGAAGTCCATAATTACCCCCACCCCCCAGCTGTTTGCTACCCCTGATTCCTTAAAAGCTTTTCCACCACCTACCCGTCTGTAATCCAAGTTTTAGCAGCTGACCATTGAGTACCCCTACTATATCCCTTCAAATATAACATACAATGTGGGTATCTTAACCATGAGATGACCCACTACCCCTCCATTGATAACCCCACCCCCTGAATGACTTTGCAATTTCGGTGTCTTTCATGGTATCGGATGGTGGGGTACCAAAAAGGCAACCCTTCACCACCCCCACCCCACCTGTCTCGATTATTCATGGGGTACAAATAGTGCAAGACCACCCCCCACACTTATCCCATCGATTTTCCTCTCACAGGTGGGTAATGGCAGATTTTACAAACCGTTATTTACCGTTATGTACACCCATTTCCGTTTTGCAACCGTTTTTCGGACCGATTTGAACCGGTGACCTACCTCAGTGCCACCGCGGGCCAGTGACTGGCCCACCGTGTACGCCCGGCGTGAGCCACTCGGCGGCGGCCCCGGTGGCCGCGAGTCGCCCGACCGGCCGCAGGCCGTAACTCAGTCGGAACCTCTCGTGGCCGGCACTGGCCCTGATAGATTTCGGGCAAATTGCCACGGTCATAGCAGGAGGAAACTTCAAGTTGCAACGAGTCTGTGCCTTAACTCAGTGAAGGCTGGACGTCACGGTGCCAGTAACTTCTTGTAAGTGACTCGTGACAGCGTGACTTTGAAAGGGTAAAGGTATGTAATCATCAACTCACAGGTTCGTATCCTGGATAAAGCTACGCCGAAAATGAGCCTCGAGGCTTTCATCGGCCAGACCGAAAGGACAGAGAGGACAGAGAGGTTCTTTGAATCTTCTTCATGGGCGCCCTCCACCTTCAGTTGTTCGCATCGCACAACCAACTGCACGGACGAGTCAACTTTATCGCTTCCCACTCAAACACAGAACCCGTCAGCATTGTGGCGGAAGGAGTAGACAACAGTGTCGCTGGTCTGTAGACCCTCACGTCAATTCACATCTTTTCTATCTCTACGGCTTCACCTGTCCGGTCGCAGTGTCCAACGCAGTTGCTGGCTTGGTGCATTTTCCGCATGGGTTGAGGGAGGTGCTCTGAGGTCAGGTCAAGAGCATGAACGGAGCATGCGATGGAGATGAAGGAGCTCTTACCTGATTCGCGTAGCACTCCGGGACAGGAACCTCGTCGGGGTTAGTGTAATCCAGAAGCTGTTGATGACTGTCAGAATCTCTCCCCTCCCCTCCTCAAGCAAACAAGTGACCCGCACTCACCATCGTCTTGTTGAGTACCCTTGCAGCGTTTCTAACCAGCGCAAACATTGTCTATAACAGAGTAAATCGAACATCGCAATATGAATAGCAGCTGGGCCTTTGCTCTCGCTGTCTTGCGTTGTAGATAGTTAACATGGTAAATTTCCTCATGTCGTTTAACCTTGACTTTGGTCTAGCTTGCTCATACATTATCGTGCTGAAGGAACCTGAAAACCTCCTAGTTCTCTTCCAGCATCTTCGCAACTCAGCTCGGGTGCAACAGGGCCTTCAACAGGCAACCCTTCGTTGTAGGGTCTGTTGCATACCCTTCCCCTACCTTATCTTACCCACACACCTCTTCTTCTTCCTCGTCCACTTTGATTTCACCTTCCGCATCTCCTCCCTATCCCCTCCGCCCC